TCAGAGATCCAAGAAAAAATTCTTGCCAATCCTGCTTTTAGCCACTATTAGTGGCAGTTATTTGTGGCTAAAAGCAGACAACGCTTGAAATGGTACGTGGTCTCTTGACATGATCTGCTGGGAGAACTACCAATTAAAAGCCACTGAGCTTCAGGGGCGCCAGGTCATACATTTTCTTTATTATCTATGGTCAGAAGACGAAATAGTCCCAAATATTTTCTTATTCAACGTTTGTTTAAATAGCACTCACAGAGTTGTCTGAAATTCAGTCTCTTTTTTTAATCCAACCTCCTGTAATGATAGAGGATCACCACTAGAAACTTTTTTGATAATGGTTCGAACGCGTGTAACATACTTTGATACGATTTTTTTGCCTTGAATTGGCTTTCAAGGAATAGTACTTACTGTTTCTCAAATGTATACTCAATATATATTAAAAATCGTTGTTTCTCTGATCTTGGCTAACAGTCTATTCAATAAATTTAACACCTATTTTTATTCTCGACAAAGTACGATGGTCGAACAATCATTTTACATTTCAGTAAGAATTTATTTAATAATAAACTAAATACTTTTAAAAGTACAATCCAATCATAAAAAATTTAACAGTTCACAGAGTCATCTGAATAAAAAAAAAGTAGTTTATCACCAAACAAAATACTGTTAAATAAAAAAAACTTGTTTGTTCAAAGTATTTCTTTGGATGGTGATAACGATTGTCATTGTTTCAGGTCTTCCGCTAATTCGAATCGCTATCGTCTGCAAAGAAATCATATTTTTTATAACAACGACGATGAGGGTTTGATAGTAGGTGTTTCTAAAAAAGAACAGTATTATTGGAATGTTTAAAAAAAACGGCCGATACTAACTGGAGTGGAGATAATAATTGGAGTATTTTCTTTATAAACCAACGAAGCTGTTTTTCTTGTTATCTTTCTCGCTTTTGGATAGGGTTTTGCTGTAACACTATTCGACGATGATGGTTGGGATTTGGTTATCGGAGACATCGGCACTTTCTAAACGAAAAGAGAGAACGGCATTCAAAAGAAAGCTTTTATTTCTATACTCACAAAAACTGAGTCTTCAGGTTTCTTATCTATATTAGTTGTTACAGATAACGGCATACGTATTGATGTAAATGATTGCTGTTGTGTTTTATGTTGTTTTTTAATCTAAAATGGCACAGACAAAAACAGAATATATTTTAGAGAAAACCATTTTAACACTTACGTTTAGTGTGTCATATTTGCATC